AAACCGAGAGCAGCTCCTTATATTTCAGCAAACACCATCACTTTCTTGGTGCACACAGCACAAATCTTCCATTTCCAGAGCGAGCTCGCCCATTTTGTGTGACGGGTCCCGTATGTCTGACCCACTAACACATTTCCGTTTATCAGGCGGCGTTACGTCACGCCAGTGGGCGGAGTCTAGTCGTTCAAAACACAGCCTGCCTTCAAATCCTCCCAGATTTTTTTACGATTCCCACCTCTTTTTTTTTTTTATTTTGCTCTCATTTTACAGCCACCCTCAGCTTTTTCGGTACTCGGCGCCTTTTTTACTTTTTAAAATTTTTATCTGCTCTTCGTATATAATGCGGTGGATCTCCGTGTATTCTTTCCGACCTGGTTTTTCTTCCGAGATTGACTTCACGAACAGCATCATCCTCTGTTGTTTGTTTTCTGGATGTTTTCGATGGATTAATTTAAAAGCCGTATAAATGCACCTGCCGTCGGAGAGACACTCGGCTTTTAAAATCGCAGAGGTAAGACTGAGAGCTAAAGCGGAGGGTTAACGGGAACGAATGTTTTTGTTTGCAGCAGCAGCAACTGTGCAAGAGGCTGCAGGCGCAGCTGCGGGGCATTATCCCGCCTGGAGCCCGTCTGCGTTGTGCTGCACGTACTGCACATCAGAACAAAGTCCATATTTTCAAATGATTTCGAATTTGCATTTTGTCAGCAGTGTGGAAGTCTGGGGAAATGGCGTTATTGTTGTCGAGCAGACTTGAGCGCGCAGTTCATTTCCTGCTTCGGTTATTTTTCTGAGTAGAGCAGATTGTTTACCAAAGCAGACTAAAAACCGCCGCTGCAAATTTCGGTTTCGAGCCAATACCAAGTGATTGGCCCAGTGTTACCGACACTGATGCTTTAACCTTCTGTAGGCAATCTCAAAAGTACATTTCAGTTTTTCTGCGTGATGAAGAAATGCTCCTGTAGTAAATGAAATCCATCTGTAAGCACGACTCTCAGGGTTTAAACTGTAAGAAATGAATGTGTAAAATTACAGATTAAACTTTGGTAGCTTGTTGCCCAGACTTCCCTCTAATTATAAAGCTTTCTTTTTCCTACTATGAAACAATTTTTAAAAAACAAACAAATTCTACAGTAGATGCAGGAAAAACAGGAAATTTTGTTATTTAATAGTTGTAATTAAACATGTAATGTGACCCCACTGCTGAGGTCTTTATTAGGAAAACCTATATATCCTATGAAAATACTGCATTAAATAGCGGCATTTAGACAAATGTCTCCTTTCTGATTAATAGGAGAAATATATTGAACTTGGGGAGGTAGAAACAAGGTCAAGTATCAGTCCAATACCAATACTAGCATTACTGTTGATACTGTCGATATTTGGATCGATTGACTCATCTCTACTGTGGATCGTGGAAATCACATTTTTGCACAAAACTGGTTTGTATTTAAATAAGCTGCTCAAGTTGCTGTTTCTATGAAACGTTTCGTCTTCCTGAACTTTACTAAGCTGCTATCATTTTTCTTCTATTAATTAAATTAATAGAAGAAAAAGAATGTGATAGCTTCTTGTCTCACCCAACCCTCCCCCCACCATCAGGTGTGTGTGCCCTGGGTGCAGCCTGGCCTGTGCTGTGGATGTGATGAAGAACCCAGGAGCTGCGGAGAGCCGTCGGCTGGACGGCCTGCTGGAGGCCGCTCTGGTCCGAGAGGCTCGCCTCTGGAAGGTACCAGTCTTCAAGAATGGATGCATCCAGGTGAGCCAATAATTGTTAGGGGATGCATAAATATAGGGTGTCATTTTTGCATTTTCAACTTGAGAAAAGGGTTTTTTTTTTTTATGTTTATAAAGCACAGACATTATATAGGCAGCTCAAACCTTTTTTTATGATATAAAAAATGGAACGATGCCAACAGGAAAATCAATTTTCATTCGGTCAGTAAAAGGAGCCATTCTTATGACAGGAACCAATAAATCTCTTCATCTCAAAGTAGTTCAGCTGGTATTCTAGAAAGGCAGCCTGTCATCTGGTTTTTATGTTGCTGTCATTGTACCTCTTAAAGCAATAACCACAGCAGGAAACCTTACAGGTTCTGGTTCGTGCCAGGTTGCATTTTATTCTTTCATCTAAAATGTAGTTCTTTGCACATGTAAATCATTAATCTGTTTTATCCTTTGTCCGCTCAGGGCGCTGACATCTCTTCATCCCAACACCAAGAAATGATCCTTTGGCTTGGAGAAATGAACAGGCTGTTTCGTTTCTGTCCAGAGACCTTTGCACTGGGAGTGTGTGTCCTCAACCGTCTGCTGTCTACTGTGAAGGTAGACAACAACACGTGATGGTGGTGGTTTACAGCTTTTGGTTTACAGCTTAATTTGCCCAGTAACTTAGGTTTACACTTTAGAATAATATATTATGTAGTTTTAAATTAAACTGCATATGCAAGCAAAAATTCAAAGTTGCATTGCGCACATTTCACAGCTAATATTCTGTATGCACACCCTGAAGGGCTGTTAGTTTTACCAGTGCTGCAGGAACAAAGAGGTGAGAGCGAGGCAGATCTTTACTGTTGCAACATATCATGTACAAAAGTTATCAGTTGTGATGTTTGATTTAATTTCCGCAGGGCTTTCTTTATGGAGGCAAACTAAACAAATCCTTTTGTGTTTTATAGGCTCAAACAAAGTACCTGAAATGCATCGCTTTTACCTCACTGGTTCTGGCTGCCAAAATCAACGAGGAAGATGAGGTAAGAGCAAGCTTTAAGCTACAATGCAAAAAGGAAACCAAGAGCAGCCTCCTTGCGACTGTTGGGGGGGGGAAAAAATCAGTGGTTGCCAGGTGACTGCAGTGAATTTATGTAATTTGATTATTGGGTTGGGGGTTTTTTTTGTTTGTTTTTTCACACAACTACTTGAGCGTGTAATATCCTCACCCTCCACATTGGATTGCAAGGTGATTGCACAGGTTGCCTGGTGTGAGGCAACCTGTCTCCAGACAATCATGGTGTGACTCGGACTCAGTGCAATCACACTCAGACTGACTGTTAAACTGATTTATAAACGTGCAGATTTCCAAAACCTTGCAATCAATCTGATACAGTCTACGCAAATTACTGCAACTCCTCTGCAACACATCTCTTTTCAGCAGGAGACTAGTTAACTGTATGTATTCTGGTAATATTCTTGCAGCAACTACATCACTTTTTATGGAATTGAGGTTCTGACTGGACACTTAATTTAGCATGTAGATGGCAACAGAATTGGATGTTCACCGATTTATCACAGTTAATTGCAATGTTATTACAAACTGCATGTAGTTGCCAACCAGTTGCAAACTGATTGCAGACTGACTCCGACTTATTGCCGTTTCAAGGCAAAGGCGACAAAATCACAAGTTTGTTGCACATGATCACTAATAATGATTTTAAAAATAGGAATAAAAAAATAAATGAACACCTTGGACTTCAGTGCATTTTCAAAACATTGTTTATTCATTTCCCTTTTTGTCTGTGTGTGTTTAACAGGTTATAGGCTCTGTTAAAGGCCTGGTTGTGCAGAGTGGATGCAACTTTTCAACAGCGGAGATTCTTCGCATGGAGAGGATCATTCTAGACAAGCTGCACTGGGACTTGTACACCGCAACACCCATCGACTTCATTCACATAGTAAGAGAGAATTCAGCAGATTGACAAGCAGACAGAATTTTTTTTTTTCTTTCTTTTTTGTAATCTGGAATTGAACTCGAAATGCTTCATGAATTCAGCTCCTGGTCTTGCATAAAAACACAAGTGGTACAAAAGCGCACATAAAACTATCATGCTTGCGTCAAGATGGCATTCACAAACCCTCGCACCTTCACCTCCCCTAAAGAAAAGAATTGGTCCTTGTAGTGATTGTGCATTTATTTGATATGACTCAATGTGCCTACAGTTATATATATTAATATAACAAACTCCATTCAGTTGATAAAGAAATCCTGCGTTTCACTAAAAGCATATCTGGAAGGCTGGATTGTTTTTCTCCATGCCACTGTTTTAGAAATCAGATTTGATTTCTTTATTTTTAATGAGCAAAAATTCCAAATATTTGTTTTTCAGGTTCTTAAATGCAGATTTTAAATAAATCCTCCAAAGATTTAATCCAGACTTCTTCTTTTTTTTCTCACTTTCCTTCTAATTCATTGCCAAAGATGACATTTAGTGATTCATAGACTATTAAAATTGTCCATTGCAGAGTAAACAGATGAAAGAATTCAACTTGGAATTAAACTTGACATTAAAATAAAGCTTTAGTGCCACTTTGTGAGCTAAAGATTTGACTTGCAGTCTCCATAGTGGACAAAATCAAGTTTTTGTGTTTTTTATTTTAAGCAATAAGTCAAGCGTTATGAGGCTTCTCTAACACAGAAGGCTGCATGTGCAAGCTGCAAGCAAAGTAACATACGTTGCATATCAGGCCAAGGCACTTCTGACTAACCCTGCAGCCTCGCTGTGGAGACCTAAAAGATGAGCGGCCAGGAGGGTATAAAGATCAAGGATCTCTAAAATTATATCAGGGGTAACCGCTCAAAAGCTTCGTGTTGTGTTTACGGTTTGGATCTGTGGCACTACTTGTTAAATCTTCCCAAGTCATTGCCTGAGGAAGTAACCGCTCTCTGAACTGTCAACAAACACACACACACACACACACACACACACACATTATTTGGATCCCCTCTCATGCAGCTGGGCCTCGGGCTGTATTCATAATGCTTTTAAGTGAAAGCCAAAGAGCAAAAATTCACGGGACTGTGAAGGTGCTCTAAAGCAAAATCTTTATCCATGTAATAGAAATAAAGCGGGTTGTAGGCCAGAAGCTGGAAGCTTTATGAATACAGCCTTAACAAATGGTTAAACTGAATTCAGCCACATGCTTTACGAGTTTTACCTACAACTCGTGATGCACACTTTCAAATGCATCTGACTTTTT